GAAAAACCCCCTCTCGGCAGAACACACCTACGCAATTAATTGCTCTCCCAACCCTATTGTGGACGCCGACCGTAACAGGTGGTGGGGATTCCGTGGATTCTTCAAAGGGAAGGATCCAGATAAAGAAAAGAAATAGGACTAATTAAACAACAAAGTGAATGAGCAGTGGCTCAAGAAGACCTGTAACAAGAAGCATTACCCGAGAAGACCTAATCCAAAGACGCAAAAAAATCCGTTCAACATCGCCATTTACATACTATTTTCGAACAACCAAACGAGCAATACCTAAATAGATACCCAGATACCAGCTGTCCAATTTGTTATCCACTTGCGACTGGGGAACAGAGTCGTGGATATCGAAGAGTAGAACAACTAGTAAAAACATTCGATCCGAATCTAACACTCTCGCGTATAAACCAGCAATCATATTATAACACCCGACACAACCGCACACAAAGATCATTCGCAGCATTCCTACAAACACTCACGTATTGGAGAATACCAGCAAGTTTTGACGCATTAGCTGTATCAGTAATACGCAACCATAGTGACGTTACTGTTGGAAGTTTTAGTGATTTAACACCAGAACTAGAAGACCTATATATCCGCGAAGTAGATAATTACGTGTTAATCACACTAGACCGGCAAAGACGAGTCCCAGATATTGGACCAGTAAATTTTCCGCCTACACCACAAGCGTTTGCACTCACACCGTTCAGAAACCTACTCGTTCAAGGATCACAGTTAATTAACGAAGCGGAAGACGTACTTGGAGAATTACTAGACGCAAACGACGATAACCAAAGCATACTCTCCCGAAACGCTTTCGGACCAGACGATAATAACTCACCTCTAAGAGTCCTCACTCAACAAGAACGAGCTGCATTTGCAACTCCAGAACCAAGCGACTCAGCATCTGAACATAACGACAATCCAGATAACGCTACAGCTGTCGAAGACACTGAAAGCGAAGCCAGCGGCCTAGATCAAGCATACTTTGAGGAAGACCTTATCCAAGACGAAAATTCTGACGAATCAGACGCGGAACCAGTAGAAGAAATCGACGTAGAAGACGAAGAATCTACTGACGAAGAAGACGACAATCAAGTATTAGTACAACTACCTCCGATACAAGCACAACCCATCGAAATGGTTAAACACGTGGATTACCCTATGTTCACCGGCAGTAATCCTGCAGCATGGGCGCGAGCCATGGACATGGCATTCGCCGCCAACCAAGTAAATGATGAGGCCGTAAAAATCAACATAGCGGCAACCCATTTAGGAGACTATGTTGAATGGTTTGCTGGCCAAGCGGCTTTTACCCATTGGACTGATGGAAACGGTGCTCAAGACCGTAATATGAAGGATATATTCTTAGCAGCATTTAACGGACCAGAAGAAAAGGGATTGGCATTATCCCAGATGTGGAAACGGAAGCAACGAAGAGGTGAAACGCTCGCTAGTTATGTGAACGGGATTCAACAGATATGGAGTGCAACTGGAGAAGACATACCTGTCTATATCAGACTAGACCCATCGATCCAACCGCTAGTAAAGGCTCAGAATCCGCAGAATATCGCTGACGCGATAGCCGCGGCAAAACGAGTTTATACTGGAGGAGCTCATGGCTCATATTTAACACAGGAAGAAGAAGACCCGTCAGTAACAGGATTGTTGGCCCAAATTGCGGAATTGACTAAACAAATGAATGAATTGAAATCAGAACGAAAAGAACCTCAACCTATCCAACGCGAACGAGCACCAAGAATGCTGGTAAATGAAAGATGCAATCATTGCAACCGAATGGGACATAATGAACGAAACTGCTGGTTTAAGCAAAAAAGAAAGCCAAGATGTTTTAATTGCGGACAGTTAGGACACATTCAAGCGGATTGTTATGCGAAAAAGAAGGTAATGCCAGGATCGGGAAAAGGGTACGGACGCCCTTAGAGGGCAAAGGCGCGTCCGCGAAACCAATAAGACCCTCTAATGCCGCACAACAATATGGAGCTTCTGATGATTCAGGACCGCTCTGTTGTAAAGCAATTGTGCAGGGAGAAGAGATTGTTGCACTAGTTGATACTGGTTCAGCACTTACTTTAGTGTCAAAAGCGCTCTATGATAGGATTGCGCACAAATTGGTAAACCCTAAGTTAGAAGAATCAAATGTGAAAATAATGGGAATAGCAGGTCTAAGGAAGAATTGCGAAGGCCGGATCAATAATTTGTCCATCAAATTCAAGGAAAAAGAATGGCGGCTCAATGCAGAAGTAATACCTCATCCATCAGTAGACGTGATACTTGGCCAGAACTTCCTGATGGAAGTAAAGGCAGAAATTTCGTTACCTAAACTCCAGATGACTCTAGGAGATGGGAAGGAACAAATTAGCTTATACAGAGAACCCTCCAAATATATCAGCATTTGTCTGATGACTAAAGCTGAAAAGAAGCCCTGGTGGAAAAAGAAGAAAGAAGTACCAAAGAGCGAATGGAAATGTGAATACGGAGCGAATGAACAAACTTGCACCCAATTACCAATGGAACCCATATTATGAGGATGAAGAACCAAACCCTTGCAGTAAATGTGCCAATCGCTACTGGGAAAAAAGAGAATATGACCAAGCAAAAGAAGACTATAATGAGTTCAAAATGAGCGCACATACAGAAGGATGGCGAGCAGTGTCAGAAGGAACTAAAGGACCTGGGGAACTTTTAAGCCAGGAATACGACCTCTATGTGAAAGGTTCAGAATTGAAAATGAATGGAGAAGTCGTAGCTAAAGGGATAGCTTTAGGATGGGTAGGAGTAACTTGGACCAAATACCATCCTGAAGGCGAACCACCCAAACCAAGAGAGAAAGACTATGCATATGAATGGAGAACTGAGCAATGGAAGCGAATATTCGTCACAAGGCCCTATATTGAAGAAATAGACGACGAACACATCATTACAATGAACTACAAATACGAACAGAAGCCAGTCGACTGGGAAAACAAACCAGACGCGATGGAAGTTGACCAACTGGAAGTGAAGGATGAGGGCAAAATAGATATGGAGATGGATGAGTCTGTCCTCTATGTCGAATGCCATAATGTCCAGAACTTCACTGACCATCGAACAATCTCAGTCACTGAAACTGATAATGGAGTAACTATTGATGACGACCTATGGAAGTGGGAGGATATTCAGCGAACACAGGCAAGATTTACTCAAGAACCCCGAGGAAATCAAACCCCATACCATTGGAAAGGCCCAGACCATAGATGTTGGCATAAAATACCATTGCTTGATAATGATATATGCAGAGAATGTGTAATCGACCTCCAAGCTATGACTATCCTATCCAAACTCCCAGACAATATCTTAACCAGATGGGAAAAAGAAAAGAAGATTAAAGCTCGACACCGCCTCCTACCAGTAAAAGGGAAGTCACCCAGATTCCCAGCAGCATGGCAGACGTTTAAAAACATTCATGCCCGACGATGGAAAGACACTGCAAGAATCCTGAAGGAAATCGGAGAGGATTACATCATCTACGCAGCGGAAGACAAAACAGTTAGAGGAATGGAGCAGATTCCCACTGAAATCGAAATACGAGTCCAACCAGAACGAACCTTATTATTGATACCATTAGAAGCTGAAACACGATTTATAGTTCAAGCACAGACCTTAGAAAATGAACATCGAATAACAGTCCTAGTAATGTCAGATAAACGAGTAGTAGTTAAGAAAGGAGAAGCAATAGCCCGCCTGAGTACTTTACCTGGAGTGATGAAGCACCCCAGTAAGGTATTGGTAGGCCAGAAGATCGAAACTACACCAGCGCCTTATACTCAGAACATTACACTGGAACAGAAAGAGAAGTTGGATCAGTTGCTGAAAGAATACGAGTCAGTGTTTTCAAAAGACTTGATGGACTTGGGACACACTACAACTATCAGACATAAAATTGACACTGGAAATGCTAAACCATACCACCAATGGAAAAACAGAGAAACTTGGTGTAATCAGGCGTTCATCAAAGAAGAAGTCGCCAGAATGCTCAAGGCTGGAATAATCGAGAAACTCGACATCGATAAACCAGACGAAATGCGACGTTCTAATGCTTGGGTATCTCCAGTGGTCGTAGTGCAGAAGAAAAATGGAAGCTTACGGTTTTGTGTTGACTATAGAGAACTCAATGCCGTCACAGTCCCAAATCGGCATCCGTTCCCGGTAATGGCAGATGTTATCGCAGATATCGCTAAAGATGGAAAGAATCCACAAGTATTTTCAGCACTCGATCTAGCAAGCGGTTATTGGCAAGTAGAAGTGGAACCAGAAGATCAGCTCAAAACAACATTCACTTGCCCACTAGGACTATTCTATTTCAAACGATTACCATTCGGACTCAAGAATGCTCCAGTTTCATTTCAAGCGATGATGGAAGATATTTTCCAGGAGGAAATCAACATAGGAAGATATTTAGCTGTGTATATTGATGATCTCAACATCTACTCTGCTGATTTTGACCAACACTTAGTGCATCTAAGAAACATATTTGAGAAGTGCAAGAAGTACAGATTAAAATTGAAGAGAGAAAAGTGCAAATTCGCTTGCGAAGAGTTAGAATTCCTTGGACACGTGATCAGTAAAGAAGGCCTAGCACCGGACGATAGAAAGATTGAAGCCATAGCCGAATATCCAGCGCTGACAAATGTGAAAGAAATCCAATCATTCATGGGAATGGCAGGATTTTATCGACAGTTTATACAAGACTTTTCTGAAATAACAGAACTATTGAAAAAAGGAACGCTGTTCAAGTGGAGTAAAGAATGCCAGGATGCGTTCGAAACTCTGAAGACTTGCCTAATTAATTCACCGATCTTAATAATGCCGAACGACCAAGACCGATTCACTTTAATGACCGATGCCTCAGATTTTGCCTTAGGAGCCGTCTTAGGACAAGATCAAAATGGAAATGACTTTGTAATTGCCTATGCCAGTAAAAAATTGAACCCTACCGAACAGAAATACCACATTAACGAAAAGGAAGGAATGGCAGTCGTATGGGCCATCCATAAAAACTATCGACGATTCTTACATGGAAGACATTTCCGAGTAATTACTGACAGTACTACGGTCAGTGCAATGATCAGGAAGACTAAGCCAATTTCGATGCGAGTAGCCAGATGGGTAATGATTCTCCAAGAATACGATTTCGAAATGATTCACAGAAACGGCACCTGGAATAAGGTTGCCGACGGCCTTTCAAGAAATCCTTCGCATCAAAAGTAACTAAAATCTAGGAGGGAGAAACATGGACCCAGAACGCTACGAACAGTTGAAACAAGAAATCATTGCAAAAGGATCGAATACTTACAAAATTATCAATAATAACCTTTTCGTCAAACATGTGATATGGAAACGAGTGATCAAAGACCCCGAACATAAGCGAATTATCAGAGATGTGCACGATCTAGCACACAGCGGGAAAAGAAGGACATTGGACAAGATCAAAGAACTCTATTGGTGGCCAGGCATGATGAATCATGTAGCAGACTACATTGAGTCCTGCGATTCTTGCCAGAGAGATACGAAGCCCAAACATCAGAATCCGTTAAATCCAATACCCATTTCAGGACCTTGGGAGATTGTGGGAATAGACCATGTCGGACCTTTACCAAAATCGAAAGAAGGATATCAGTATATAATCGTTGCTCAAGACTACCTCACAAAATGGCCAATAGCGGAACCAACCAAAACGACTAACCAAGACGAAGCGATCAAATTCGTAAGGGATCGGATAATGGCCGTTCACGGAAGTCCGAAACAAATCATCACCGATCAAGGAGCCGCGTTCATCAGACATCATTGGGACCAAATGATGGAACTGTGGAAAATCAAACACGTTACTACCACGGCCGGACATCCACAAGCTAACGACCAAGTCGAACGATTAAATCAGACAATAGTGAAAGGCTTACGACGAACCCTAAAATCGAGAAAGGAATGTTGGCCAGATATCCTACAGTTAATACTCATGGACTATCGAGCGTTGATTCAAGACACTACAGGCTATTCTCCGTCGCAACTGCTCTACGGAAAACAAATACGATTACCTATAGAATCGGATTTCGAAGCCCGCGAAACTGAAGAAGACTGGGACAAAACGTTAAAGAAAAGGATCGCTCAGTTAGATCTCATCGAACCGAATCAAGTAAAAGCGGCAGAAAATATAAAGGCAAAACAGGCAAAAATGAAGGCAAGATACGACAAACGCATCAAACAAACGGTAAAATTCCAAGTAGGAGAACAGGTACTCCTCTACGGACCTAAACGAACGAAGTTAGAAACGACGGCAACCGGCCCATTCAGAATCAGAAAAGCGAATAAGTATAACTCATATGAGCTAGAATTGCTCAATGGAACGCCATACCTCACAGTCACCGGCACAAGACTACGGCACTATAAGGATAGAAGTGGTAATGTCCATGTGGACATATAGGGAGAGACATGGATTATTCTCAGACTTAGGAAACATTTTCCGAAGTGACTAGTGTTACCTGATGGCATACGCTATGTTTCAGTTGGCAGATCGAAACTGGCTGAGAAGTGGAATTGTAGTGTTAGAATTAGACTTTGCGATTTGAAATTTTACAATAATTAGCAGAAAATATATAGTATATTTATATTTAGTCAACATATTTAGTTTAGCAATTTTGTATAATTATCTCATTCTTAGGAGATAGTGCTGTAATCGGTTGGCTATCACAGAAATTGTGCGAGGAGGGGCACATTTCAAGTTTATTTACGTATTGGTGACAGAAATTACACATGTATTACTGTTTATTTTTAGCTCTTTGTATTGTCACCAAAAGACCGTTACTTGCGACAAAACGTGACAAGGAAGATGAGGAAATCTAGATCTAATGGTGAAAACCGGTTATACATTTGATAAGGCCATCTAACCAACGGAATGAAAGGAATGAGATGCCAAGCTCTGCTAAAATAACTAGATGGAAGGTTTTAGAAGAATCTGATGTAACGATCTGACTCAGATGTTGACGAAGAACCAACGGCAAATTGAGCGCTGCGCGCACAA